ACCACCAAATTGCTAGCGTGGAAGCGCCCTCTCTCGGGAAAAGTGCCGCGCGGCTCCTGTGATTATAGCGATTCATTTTCGTAATATCCCTACCAATCGCATACCTGTAACACCATAAAAAGTTTTTCTCCGAGGTGGCCATCGGCGAAAATTATTGGCATCACCGTAAAAGAGTGCGTTATAGCCGGCAGAGATTGCACGACACGCACTACTTTTTTGACCCTTTCTGGGCGAGAGTTCTTGCGGGATGCAGCTCCTTCAAAAACGCACTCTGATCTGCATTGCAGATGCAAGTGGTGGGCCACGATCCCATTTCTGAAATGCTTCAAAGTGGCTATCGCGCTAATTATGGTGGTAATCACCTTTTTTGATTCCGACGACAAATGCCTGTGCGGTGTCGTTTATTCTGTCACGGTTCAGGTAATTTTTTTTTGGACGTGAAGGTAGTGACACGTCGTGAGACAATGCCACTAAACCTTTTAAAATCCTGAATCCAGTGATGACTGGCTTTAAATCCCGCGATATGGATCTTTCATCGTCCGAAGATCGTTATCATGAAGAGAAATTCCTTCTCTGAATTTTTTCCATAACAACTTCCCTTACTTTTTCTTTCAGCGTGTGCAGACGTGCAATGCGGTCAGCGCGAGACACTTCTGAATTTGAAAAAATGGAAATTATTTTCGAATTATAATCAGAATTACGGGTTGATCTAATTCTAAATTTTTTCAATTCAAAAAAAATCATTCCTGTTGAAATTCAGGATAATTTTCGTGCAGGAAAAACGTACGCTCTTTTTCTAGCTCCCTCAGTTTCACGAGGTGGTATACGGAGAGGTGATGAAGCGGAAATGTCGCTGCATACACGCCCAAGAGCGATGGCCCTTTTCGGTAGCTCGATAGAATGTTATTGCTTTATTTACCTAAGGATCGATTGGGTGGGGGAACGAAAGCCGCCAGGTCCAGCCGCCTCCGCGGACTGCTGGTCCTGGAACGACATGCAACAACGCTGCGAAAGGACCAGCTGGCCGCGAAAGGCGGCTGGACCTGGCGGCTTTCGTTCCCCCACCCAGGATCGATTATATGATCTTGAAAAAATAGCTACAATAAGCACACCGTTTATTCCGAAACTTGAACGTTCCCGAACCGAAGCGCTCCCGATCTTGTTGGTTGTATTAGGTTGTAACAAAATTAATGCAGGTTTTGAATTCCAACCGCAATAACTCATACACTTCTCATTTCTAAGTAGGTTGCAAAATACCATTCGATAGAGCAAAGCAATCTCTACAAGGTGGCCATCTTGCTTTAGCAACAACTCTGATCCACCACGAGTTTCGAGCCAAAAACTAAAAGTATTCAACTGTCCGGAAAATTGAGAAAAATCGTAACTCAGTTCCTAAAAAACCTACAAAAATTCTAACTTGCTCACGTAAACACTATTCACATAAGACATCTATATACGCCTTTGCCGTATTTTCTTCTCTGTTAGAAATCAAGCAAACGGAAATTTTCGTGCATTTGCCAAAGTGTTGCTGTGCCGTTCCCACATAAGTAGTTGTATACTACAAATCTGTAGAAGTACAAACGTAAATTTTCAGCTCTCTACAAGTTTTAGTTCTCGAGAAATTTGAATTTTAGCTTGGACCATCTGACTAGGGAAAATTATATTCGATATAACTCGAGAACTAAAGCTTGTAGAGAGCTGAAAATTTGCGTCAGTACTTCTATAGGTCTGTAGTATACAGCTACCTATGTGGAAAGGGCACAGCATCACTTTGGCAAACGCACGAAAATTTCCGTTTTCTTGATTTCTAACAGAGAAAAAAATACGCAAAGGCGTATATAGATGTCTTATGTGAATAGCGTTTACGTGAGCAAGTTAGAATTTTTGTAGGTTTTTTAGGAACTGAGTTACGATTTTTCTCAATTTTTCGGACAGTTGAATCTTTTTAGTTTTTGGCTCGAAACTCGTGGTGGACCAGAGTTGTTGCTAAAGCAAGATTGCCACCTTTTAGAGATTGCTTTGCTCGAATGGTATCTTGAAACCTATTCAGAAATGAGAAGCGTATGACCTATTGCGGTTGGAATTCGAAACCTGCATTAATTCTTTTACAACCTAATAGAATCTCATCACCATCTCCTGACCACAGTGGGTCTGCTTCACGATCTTCGAGAGCTTCATCCTCTTCAAATTCGACCTCCAAATTGTCGTACACCGCTTCTTTCAAAATTGAGGAAAAGCTCTCTATGCGCTTATGCTCCTTCCGAGTAGGTTGGCGCACAAGTTCGCAGACGCCAAACTCTTTAGCCAGGTAGCTTACTACCATTTGAGGTGAAAACATAGTCACAAATGATTCAAGAAGCTTTCCATGAGCTATTTATATGGGGGCCTAATGTGTTTTACAAGTATTTGATCTTCTTGATCCACCGACATTGCTTAAACCAAGATCCTGTATAATTTTTCGGTTTTTCTTCCAAATCTTTTTATGAATAAGTCATTAGGGGCGATTCTTTGCCTTTTGAAGCCTCTAGGGATACATCCCGAACAATTTGCAAAAATGCAAAAATGTCGGTTGCTCAGAGGATTCGAACTCTCGAGCACCTGTTCCATAGTCTCCGCATCTCTCCACTCGGCCATCCGCCCACGCATGTACAGTATTTGGCGGCGCAGTCATAACGTGAGCAGTGAGGGGCACCTGAGGAGTCGATCGCTCATAACTTTCCTCAAAGGACCATTGAGCAGCTACGGAGCACAGGTTGGTGTTAGTTGTCGAAGAGCAGTAGAATGATACACATCACATATGGAAAGCCCAATTCGACCAACGGTCCTTCCCTTGTTAGTACACTGAAATACGACAAAGAAACGGCAAAACTGAACCGAGGGTGCAGGTGCCGCGCTCTTTCGCGATAGGCCTGCTCTTTCGAATTCAAATTCGTCCCACTGCAACTGCTCAGATAATCGCCGGGGGCAGGCGGCCATGCAATTTATGGGCGGGCGGGCACCAGAAAAATAGTTCGCTGATTTCTTGCGGTCCGCTTGCAGATATTTGGAAGAATGTTAGCGAAATTTTAGAATGCTTGAAGAAAAATCGCGGTTTGCTTATAGATTAGCTGCGGCGCAGTGGCTGCATTCTCGCAGACTTTCGGCGAGAATATGCAAGACTTTTGAGAGCCGCACGGTCTATTGTGGAGGACCGCGCAGCCCCCCGGTACTTTCCGCTGAGAGAAAGTACCTCAAACTTGAGTAATTAAACCAACGGTGACACCTCTGCCACACAGAGTCTTACCTGTGCTCGACGTAAGCCCGAAACTGCGTAAAAAGAGTCCGAGCGCCTGCTGAGAGTTTGACCAGCGCTCGCTGAAAGAGATTATTTGACGAGCGCCCGCAGAAAACTCTGTAATCTGCCCTGCTAGCGAGACATTCGACAGTAAAGGAGGTACTGCCCGCTGAACGTTTGGCCACGCCCCAAAATTCTGCTGACCGCTTGCAGAAAAGCGAGAGTTTGCGGACCGCCTGCCCCGGCAATTATCTGAGTAGTGGGGTGAGGACGACTATAGTTAAAACGAGGGAAGCAGTGCAGTAGCTACGCCATTTCGTGAATAATAGTCACTTACTACTTTACGTAGCTAGCGATCGTTGGCAATCTTGTACCTGTTCAGTTAATACGTATCCAATGTACAGTCACCGCCACTCAACTATTGACGACTGCAGTTCATATATCGCTGACAAGTTGCCACGCGTTCATTTTATACTTACAGACGTGTAGCACCCACATTCGGCGGTTCCTCTTGGATGTTCTAATTGGGGATCTGTTAATTGTCTGGTCGATACCTTTAATAAATAATTCGCCAATATTGGTGATTGCCAGTGGCAGCGACTAGTGGTCCACTAAATGTAATTGATGCGATCAAAAGGGTGCCTACTCCGATGAGTGTAGCGCCTCTTAATCAATAAAGTTTTGCACGGTATCCTTTAGAGATGATTGCGATTCTTAAACGGTGCTCATTATCTTTGCAAATGTTTGGGGGGGGGGGGGATGAGAATTGGCAGGAAGATCTTGCATGCACTCAGAGGTATAAAACGTACACTGAAATGCTCACCGCGTTACTGCAGCTGCCACAGCTCTGCCAATAATTTGCATTGCATGCACATCAAGATGTCAATCCCTCAGTTTCGTTTTGGTAGAGAGAGCGAGAAAAAGACTGCAGCAACAATCACAGGAACTTAACGTGTACACCACTTATAGCGCTAATCTGTCTCTTCAACACAATGGTTGAATTACTGAGGTTTCTGCTGCATTATTATGTACAGCCTTTCAAAGTTGGTATACCCAAAGTTTTGCAGCACCCCATGGACTAAAAAGTCACAGCAGTCGCTATCTACAGCAGCCTTCAGAAATCACAGCAAAATGAGGGTTCCTTCATACTACGCCGTAGGACGCGCCGTGCTGCGAGCTGCGACGTGCTGCCCCGTGCTGCTCCAGGCTGCTGCGTCCTGGGCGTGAGCCGCAGCATGCTGCGTCCTGCGGCGTAGTATGAAGGAACCCCGACGAAAGCGATCAAGCACATATGTTCAGCATTGTGAACATGTATGAATTCTTACACGCTAGATTTGCGTCAGCATCCTACCGCTATAGAGCATCGCATGCAATACAATGTGTTACTCATCTACTTTCAAACTAGTACCCCTCTACAGTTGCCTAACTCCTGCTACAGTTGCTGCAGCAACAACGCGTGTTCTTCTTGTAGCCTCTGACTTGCTCTCAACAGGTTTAACATCATAGAAAGTTGATGCATCGTGGTGACAATATGAAGCTCCTCTTTGTATCACAACATGCGTTGGGCAAAAGGAGCGGTGAGCACGCACTAATGTACTTTAGCTACTCAACTTTGGCTACTGACTAGTGCGACAACTACAAGAACCCATAATCACTCATTGTTGGGCGCAAAAACGGTGCGCTGCATTCCGTTCTGCAATACACACAACAAAAACTATTGCGAAAACAGGCATTTTATCAAATGGCAAGCGTAATGTTGAGAGTTATACCAATTCGCGCATAAAACTGGCCAAAACTATTAGCAAAATAATAGCTATATGATCTCATGTTCCTAGAATAATTACAAAATTACAAGTGTGAAACAGTAAATACACTAAGTGAAATGTTAAAATGTAAATGCATTTGCAAACATAGTGACGGAAACGTTTGAGAAGTGAGTTCTCAGATAGAGAGAACTTTGCTCAAGCGCAGAGCCCTGTATCCTTTTCACAAGTCGTCCCATTAGGACAGGCTGAGCAGGTGTCACCAACTTCGTAGATGACTTCGTTTAGTCGTCTACCCCTAAATGCCAATCAAATTACTGGTATTGTTTGGAAAATGGAAAGAATCACACCCGGGTTTGTAGCGACAGAAGACCATCGAACTAATCCGACAGTTTTTAACTGCACATCCAACATGAGTCGTTCGCGACCAAGCCATCTGTTGCAGTTTTTTTTTTATTAGAGTCTTCTTATAGAACGAAAGTTTTGGTCTTACCTGAACATAGTGTTGCATTTTTCCTTCCGCTAGCATTTCTTTAGTGTAGATGTTGTTCCAGTGACTTCCATGTTTAGCAAATTCTTTCCACCAAGCCGTCAGCGCCTGTATTCTCACCTTGAACTAAAGCGTACATCAAAAATTGGAGAATAAACTCACTCGTTCGGCAGCAAACAATGGATCAAGTTTGGTTCCCTGAACTTCAACTCTTTCAAAGTATGAACTGTTTGGCGCAATAAACAAATTCCATGGATTGTTTTTGCTTACCATAACTCTTGCCCTATTCTCATTATACCCTTCAAGTTCTGCGCATCGTGTATGTTCATTTCTGCACTTGTCAGCAGCTTTCTGGGCAAGCCTCTCAGCTGTGCAGTCATATTTCTAGTAAAAGGAGTTGCTGTGAGGGAAATCTCAATGGCTGAACAATTCTCACCATTTTCATCATTGCAGAAGCGCTCAAAGAGGTTTTGTTGTATAGTTTTACATTTTTCTCCAAACCTCTCGCCAGCCTCGACCTGAAAACGCTTGACAAACTCTCAAGAGGTTCGCGTAGATATCTTTTCTCTGACTAAGAGACGCGAGCATGCTTTGTGTACGTCTGAACAGGCTTATGAGTGCGTTCTAACGAGTTCAGGATGCTTTACTATAAGGACTCCGTGAAAGAACATGTTCGAGCGGCTTGTTGAACAACGCGAGTTCAAATATGGTCTTTTACAAATTCCTGATAGTGATTCATTGAAACGTGTTACAACGCCTCATGAACATGTTAATCAGATGTACGCTCGTGCTCGTGTCTCTCAAGAATAAATGCTAAATGTCTTTAGCGCTCCCTTCATGCTTCAATCTACAAATTTCCTTGTGACTTTCATCTGCCCTTACCAATTTTCTTCCTTCATAATGAAATAAAGGTACTGATGTATTTGATCGGCGTACAACCTGCTATTTGTTTCTGGACTTCAGACTTTCTTCGCTTAGATCACAGTGAGGATGTGCAATCATATTGCACATCTAGTTTGCTGGCGAAATCTGCAAAGCTTAAAAGGCCGCGAAACTCGGTAGGATGGTTTTGGCCCCTTGTAAAACTCGGTTCGATACGGGCGATCTGAACTGAGGATATCAGTTGAGGTTCGCAAGGTGAACTTAACAGGAACATTCCCTCCCCCCTCCATACTATAAGAATGCAACGTGATTTGACAAGTGAGCGTCCGCCCAGGTGCCGCGCTAATATACTGACTTTTGTAAAAATAATGTTTATCTTGTGTAATGTTACGGAAATAGTGTGCAAACGATTGAACCCAAGAATAACCCCGTAGACTGCTTGCGAGTAGCTTACGATAAATTTCATTTCACGTAACCTGAGGAGCAGAAATGGGCAAAATTACGCTACTTCTGGGCTCACAGGATTAATTAACAGCTGATTGCTGCAAGTATGGACAAAGGTCTTCTTTTTCTGCAGAGATATTTTTTAGTAAAATTTATCTTTTTCGAAGACTTGATCAGAGCGTAGATCATCTTTCTCCTTATTTTCCATTTATGGTTTTTCACGAAACATCAATGCTGTATTATCGCCGTTTTGTTTTATCTCTCCTTTTGCTGGGCAAATTTTTAATGGTAGTCATCACCAATTTTTTGATAATGGTCGCTGTCAAGGATATAGCGCCGACATAGGGAAAATAATAGCATTAGCCGATCATGGTGATGCTGGTCCAACCGCAAATGTTTATCCAGGTAGCAATCAATTTTCACGGAAGGATGCTGAAAGGGTTTCCGGGAAGTTGCTTTTTTCCCCCAGCAGCTCTGTTTTGATTGATAGATGCCGCACTGTTGGTCGGATATTTGCGTGGGGTTAATATAAAGGCTCAGATGAACCAAGGCTACCAAAACTTTGTCTGAAAGAATAAATGTTCGCTCATCAGTCCCATATCGAATATTCATAATCTGTTACGATCTGATATGCTTAGAAAGGAAGAAAGAAGTTCAACTATACGAGCAGCGTACAATAATGCGCAGTATATTCTTTGGCTAACAACTACGTGTAAGAAATTATTGAAGTTTTCTATGTAGAGGCTTAAAAGCTCATAACTTCTGCAAAAATTTGCTAAGCCGATATATAGGTGATAAATGAAAAGAGAAAATGATTGAAATCAGAGAATAAGCTGAGATATAAGCAGAAATTATTTGCAAATTGAGAACAGTCACCAAGAACTCAGAAAATTGAAAAGGGTATTTCGCATTTGAAATTCGCAGACTTCTTTTGCGGCTGTATTACATGCAACAGAACTTTTTTCAGTCAAAAGATGAAGTCAATGAACGCCACATCTTGTGGAACAAAAATTTCCAAGTCTTGGTAACATTCGATGCAGCATCTCATTCTCTTTCCAACATCTATAAAATCCTTTATAAAGTTCTTGCATCACAGTTAATGTCTCAGAAATTTAATAAAATTTGCGACTCATGCTTTTTGAGATGGTCATTCAGCATTTTTCACATTTTCACATTAAAGGCAGGGTCCGGGCAGATACAAAATGTAGAGTACAGGGGCACCAGTAAGGCTCTTGCCCAACTGGCAATACCATTTTGCTTCTGAGGCGAGAAATCCGCTTTAGAGTGGCGACTGGGACGAGTTAATTCGATAAGCCAGAGTGCACATATACCGCACACAGTCAAGATGTAGGGTCGCACAAGAATTCTGCGTCTTAGCCTTGGCGGCAGGCAAAAATTCAAATCAAGAGCTTTCGGCAAAGCCCGATTCGGCGTTTTCGTGCCTTCCAAGCTGCATTCTCAGAATCAGCGAGAGGAATAAACCCAGGTAAGCGAAAAAAAATTTCATTCGAAATTTTGCCCGGACGCTGCCTTTGAGCCTTTGAAAAAAAGAGAAAAAGTTGTACAGTATCCTCTTAGGCTTGCCCATCAAATCTCCACTTGGATTCCTTGGAAAGTTTGATGTAACAGTTTGAGAAAATAATGAGACTTGACATTCTTAAGAAGCATGTGTTGCAGATCCTGGCAATTTTTCGAGAGCTTATTGATTGTGCTGCAACGAATATATAACTTTTAGAAAGACGATGGAATGCTGCAACAAATGCTAACAAGATCTTTTGGAAACCTTTACTCTATCAAATGTGGAATTCATTTTCAAAAAAAAAAACGAAGTTAGTTCCATAACGACCTAGTACATTGTAACAATCTGTAACTTTGTTACGATCAGCTTCGAATACACTCAAATACGCCGTTCAAAAAAGACTGACGTGCCTCAAGTGTGTAAAGGGGATGGTTGTAGAATCCATCCACTGCAGAACCATTACAAACCTGAATTCATTGTGGAGATCCAGAAATTTCTTCCGTACCTCTTCTGTTTGTTTTCCTCCCTCACAACAAATTTCGCAAGGCACTTAAAATTTCGTATTTAGAACTTATCAGAACGAAAATTCCTACAAAAATTCATTGTCATTCCCTAAGGTCATGATATTCAAGCTTCCCCTAAGAGTGACTGTTAAGCAAAGGTGGACTTACCCACAGCAGTTGATACTGTGATGATGTAGATCTGAAATAATTACTATATCAGCTATATCGAATGAGTAGAGAACAGATCAAGATACCAACCAGGAGAAGAGACATGAGAGAGCTGATGTGATGTTTTTGAATTCTTTGTACACTGCGAACAGCGCCGCTTCGATTTCACTCATGACTCAACAACAAGTCATGAAAAATTTGAAATTGTTGGGAGTGAGGAATCTGTGCAAAAAAATGCTCTTATTATTACCATCAGCTTATCAGGCTTCCTTTGAAGACGAGTGGAAGTTGTGAACAACTGCCAAAACAATAAGTGAGTAGATTGTGAAGATGAACAATTTGCGCAAAAAATCGAAATATAGGTTAGCAAACGGTTTTGACGAGCTGACTTCGTTCATCCAAGGCTGACAATGCACTTAGCGGAGAAGAGGTGACTTTTTCAAAATCTTTTTCTATAGGCCTGGCATTTTTCTTCGGACAGCTAACATACACCCTCTGTTATCTTTTTTCATCAGCTTAGTGATGTACGATCTTCTATTTAGAGTTGGACATCTAATCCCTAAATCTTCACAGAGCAACATGTGACGCTATGCTCCATTCTTGATGATTTGCTCTTTTTTGTATATTCTGGCAATTGTTGGTATGTTCTTGAAACATCCGCTTAAAGCAAAATTGTCCATGCACCTAAAATAGATGTAACGTTGGAAATGATGTTGGGTGTGGAAGAACCATTCTAGAGCAAAAATTCGCAACATTTTGAAGGTAATTTGCAGTAATCACGTAGTTTTATTCGCTTATAACATACTTGCTTATCTAGAATTTTCAAAATGTTGCCTCTTGGAAGAGTTACAGATCGAATTCTATTTTTTCAATAGAACAATCATCATGCACCATGTTTTTTTGCGAGTAATTCAAAAAATGAACCAATGTAAACGTATAGCCCTCATCTCTCATAATCTGGTATCATTCGAACCAATCCTTATCGCACTCCTACAAGCCGAAACATGCAGGAGAACTTCGGATTAGCCTGGTAGTCATATAGTGTTTGTAATCACTGGGCAGCGGACTCGAACCTCTGGGTGTCCGCTCTTTGGTCGCGCCTACTAACCACTACACCACCAACAACAATTGCATACTTCGAGGTACCCACAAGTCAAGGAAAGTTATAGCACAGTGACATATTTTTTCTTAGCTCACAGTTATTAGCACTACTTCTGTAAAATATGTTTGAAAACAAGCAACACTCAGCAGGATTATTTCGTAAAAAATTCAGAAACCTGTACTAAAGGTAAAACTGAGAATCTTACTGAAACATAGTTATACCAGGGCCTTGTTCTTCGAATATTTTTCTTAAACCGTGTATTCTCTAGACTTATTCTTATATTCAACAGTTAAAACCTTGACCTGAGGTGTGTGTGAAATTTCGATTTTAATATAGACTGATGTTTTCTTATTATATTTCGTCTCACAAGAAATGTCTAAGGTACTGGACTTTGAATAATTTCTTGGTTATCATATGACTTTTAAAAACGGATACAAGCGTACATGCTCCAAAACCCCTAGTCTAAAAAATGCTATGGCAATCTCACGCTCTAGCGATAAGCTATCGCTGTTTCTGTTCACGCAATTATGCTAATCACAGCTTTGCTACTGTTCGGTACATTTCTTCAAGGTAATATTTTGACTTTTCTTTCAAATCTGTGCAGTAAAATCGATTACAATCTTAATTCAAATTCATCTAAAGAGTCGTTTATTGGCGTTGATCCTACCTTCTGGGTACAAAATTTTGACTTGTATCAATTTTTCCTGCTTCTCAACCACTGAACTTTCCTACGTTATTCCAGGCGACAAATTCTTGAGAAACTCGCGAGCACTGAGCTCTTTTCTTATTATGTTGTTGCGTTCGCATCCTGTGGCTGTTTTAGCAAAAAAAGTGGTGTAAAATTTCAAGAGCTTCTCGTATTACATTGTTCTTTCAAGTTCGCTTCCTTTTTCTTTTGTTAAATATTGCTATCCTTTCTTCCTTTAAAAAACAGCAAGTAGCTCACAAATTTTTCAGCGAATCTAGCTCCAATGTGAGCATATTGAAAATGACTGATTATTTGTCATTGAATGACCTGCTCATTTAGCAACGTCCGATGAGCAATGTCCTAAAGGATGGCAGTTTGTGGTGGAAGGCTCTTATTGTGTTTTAATCACAACACAGCTGTTTACCGCTGATGACGCAAGCGCTTACTGCAATTCGCTAAACTCTAGTTTAGCGATAATGAATCTGCAATCGGATTGGGCAGCTCTTACGAGTAGGTTGTCGATTTGAAGTACTTTTACAGATTCATTTTATTAGCGATTTATTTGAAATGTAGAAGTCACATGAGCGAGGAATTAGAGGTTTGGAAATTACATAGCTTTCAAAAATTTCGCTTTTCAATTTATATGCTCCTCTAGGTCTTACAAGCTCCCAACGATTACCGCCATGGATGGGTGCAACTCGTACTTCCAATGGTGCTTGGAAATGGAACAACGGCATTTCAGTTTCGAGTGCCTACTGGGCTAACAGTAACTTTGACCATTTTGACCTATATTTTCCTATTCGCTACAATTTTTCATAGACGAACCATCCATCTACGGTGACTGCGCCACATTGCGATCTAATGGATTGACCGCTTGTCCTTGCTACAGTTTACAACCAGCTTTTTGTAAAATGCAACCTCAGTTGTGAGTTTGCACATCCTCAATTCAGATAATCTTGATTGTTTCAGGGTAATCCAGAAGTAATGGGGCATCTTGATTTTTTGATATTTTTTGAAGGTTTCTTTCTGATCAACTATAACTACCAGCAATTTGAACGCTTTTATATAAAGCGACCTTTGCGTTTTATCCTGACAGCGCCTTGTATTAGGTTGCTGCATAAGTTCTGTCCGAATTTTTTTGCCTTATGTTTGAAGCAGCTGTTCTAACAGCATTTCATTTCTAATGCGGTAGTATTAGTATCTTTAAAAAGTGCTTTCCTTGCTCTTTCTAATGCATATCAGATTTTAATAAATTTCTTAGTGTACGGAGATTTAAGGCCTAAAATCTCTAAGTGGTCGAGGTACGTTCTCACTCTAAAAATATGTTCTTGCGAAAAAATCTCCACAATGCGCCCTTCAAGTCAAGTTCTTTCATTGTCTGCGGAATAAGGCGTAGAAGCCAAGTATATGCAGAATTTCGGTTCCATGAAAAAAACGTCTTGCTAGTGAAATTTATTGCAGAACACTAATTTTTTGTATAGATGTTTTACAAGCAATAACTTTCTGCAAATAGAAGTAATTGATAAACTCAAAGTTGGAGGTGCTAGGGCAAAGCAAGAGCTAGCAGGGCCCATCTACCAGTTCCTTTTCGGGGCTCACGTCAATTGTAAAATTTTCATACTTCGTAAATAGGCATGCACACATGCGCTGAAGCGAGGTCAAAAAGTGGCAAATTTTTTGTTCGGTCAAAAGAATCTCTCGGCAACGCAAACCCTATGGGCTCTTTCATAATGCAAAATAATCTACGAAGAATTCTCTATCTATCCATTGTTAGAAAATATGCCTATCAATTCTTATAAGGGAGCATTGCCATGTCAAAAAAGACAGGTTTGAAGAGAAACGCTGTGAAGTTTTTGAGTTCTTGCTTCTTTCTTAACAAGAATTTGCGCAGAACTCAATATGTTTTTTATAGCCAAGGAACTGCTCAATACATAGAAACTAAGATCTTAGAAAAAAAGTTGACTTTGAAAGAAGTTACGACGTTTTGAAATCAAAAAAATTTAAATCGGACAAAACTTATGCAGCAACCTAATAGCACCCACTGGAAATGACATATCGTTCGAAAGGGCTTTCCGAACTCTTTCTAGCGATTACTTTGATGTGCAAAGATTATACATTATTTCGTATGAAAGACGCAGTTTATTCGAAAAGGCACGATGTTTTGCGCCGATTTTCAGGCTAAAAATCTTGGACCGACAATTTTTGAGAGTAAAAAAGGTTGAGGTGCGTAGAAATTATTATCAGATAGATCTGTCAAATGATCTCATTGATTACCTGACGAGAAAATAAATATTATGCCTCCTAATACTGTCTCTTCTATTGCAAAGCTTTGGGACCAGGCTATCGTGAATTTGGTGACTTTCACCTCACCCACTGCACAGATGTTTTTAATAGTTTCACTGGTTTACCGCGGTGCTGCTGCTCAAAATTCGAAGCTACTTAAAGTGATGAGCTTTGACTTTGAACGCTTATAAAATAAGCCATGTAACCAGGGCTCTGCAGGGGTGGCGCTTTCACATGCCGGATGTCATTTTTTGAGAAGGCAGAGGGGAACCCATAAAGTTTCCACCTGGAAACCTGGCGAAATACTAGGATACTCTCAACTGTTAGCAAGCCCGAATTCGGAGGTCTAACGTGAATTTACTAGGTTCCATGTGTGCAAGTAAATTAACACGTTACAAACACGAGTAGTGCATGAACCTGTATGCACACGATTTTTACATGGATTCGGTTTGTTTACAAGGAGTTATAGTGTGGACCCCGGCCAGCCTCCCAGAGGTACCTGCGCGACGCTCCCGCAGCGCATGCCTTCAGTGCGCTTTCGTTTCTGCTTTATATGGAAATTGTTATGTTTTCTTCTCTAAACTGGCTTTGTTCTGTTTGTGAACGCTCTGTTTCAGGTGTAGACGACTCAGGACAACGTCCTACGATGGGTTTTTAAGAGCCTCAATAGTCTTAACAGCCTTTGTCTCAGATATTCCCTTTTTTTCAGTAGCGGAGATTTTAGCATATTTTAGTGGAATCTCTAAACTGATTACAGAGTAGGCGTGCCTAACCAATTGATTTATAAAGTATGATTGCTTCTTATTCATTTGTAATGCATCAGTGGGACTCTGACTGTACAAATGTGCTCGCTAGCTTACGCTTTTTAACTTTTTTCGAATGATCACAGAAGGAAACGTTTCGAAAGTAGCCCTCGACTCTTTCTCTTCTAGAATTCTCAATCAGCGGTACTTTCATACTAGCATGCAGGAGATTGACTGATATCTGCGCGCTAGTGGGGGTTGTGAACGTTCTCTTCTTGCCTAGGCCCTTCTCGAGCTGAGACTGATGGTTTCCACTTCTTATTTCATTCCTACATGATGTAGAAATGCTTTTTTACTCATAAATGAACGAGAAGCGTCAGGCCGAGCGCGCGTTGCGTATGCGCCGCGGCGGTACCTATGGGAAGCTGGCCGGGGTCCACACTACAGCAAAACTGAGCCACAAAATTAGGTGTGTACACCCGCGGTGATGAACAAAAGAAAAGTGCGGAAATTTATGAAAACCTTATGTGTACAGAAAAAGTTGTAAGTGTTTTTCGATTTTGGGTTGCTCCGGCGCTACCTGGGAGCACCCTGAGGTGGACTAGACAAGGTCATGAATCTTTACAATTCCCCTCTTTCCTCACATGAAATTACATGAATCTTAATTTTCAAATAATTTTGATAATTTTTGAATTAATTTTTACATGAATCTATTCTTTGGATTAAGCCCTACTTATGAGTGCTAGCCTTAACCTGGGCCACCGGTGGTCCACACCGTCCCTGGCGGCAAAAAGTGCGCAGGCCACCGGTGGTCGACGTCGTCGTCAGTGGGTTAATTTTTGATTTTATTCTTGCCCTTTCTTCACTTCAATCCACTTTTTCCGTTGCCAAATTTTAGAAAAGTTTCTACAATACTGCAAAAAGTATCTCGTAATTTTCTGCAATGTCAAGGGGGACATCGAATTTAAATTTCTCATATGTCACCTCATGCTAAGCCCATAGTGACTTATCCATCTATAAACCTCTCCAGGTTTTGTTACGTACTAGTTCTGTCAAAATTTGAGCATCCAATTAAGATTTCTATTTGAAAAACCGGAGTTATTCTCTATGTGGCTCACTACTTTGAATCACCCTGATATTCAATTTGTAGGTGTAATGGAGGTAAATTCGGTGGACCGAATATACAGTCGGGAAGCATCAGTAGTCCTGGATATCCATTACAGTATTACAATAATTTGGATTGCTACTATCAGATTGAAGGTGAGATAATTTCTCATATTTTCTTGATTTTTGCCCTTATTGTTCACGAAATCGGATTCTAAAACATGCACACAGAAAAATGAATCTACCCACTAACACTGATTTCAGAAAGTATCTCAGGGAGTAACAGCTATGGGTCAATTCGTATTTTTTGAATTTTTTTTCTTATTTTTATCAAGAAAAGAGTGTTGCTTGCAGAACTTACGAAATGTGCATGCCAGGAAAGCTAAGAGTTTATAAGGGCTTACAAGACAATAAGGAACGAAGTTCGGAAAATTATAAGAATTCCCTGTAAATAAAAGGCGTGCACATTTTTCTCAAAATCAAGATGGCAAGTGCCATTCTACGACACTAAAGTGGTCAATTACATGACAAATTCCAAAATGCTCCACGTTTGCACTCACGTCGAAAATTCTCTATGCAGCAGCGGCGTACCCAGGATTTCAGCTCGGGGAAGGCGGAGGGGGGGGGGGGCGAAGAATTTTTTCTGATGAGTGAGTCACGCATTCCGAAGAATTTTCGGTATGCTTCTTGAAATTTTCGCGGGCTTATAACCCCGAAATTGCAAAATAAGAGGATGTGTGTCCGCTGTGCCCCCGTTTTTTGAGGTTTAGAATGAATTTTCGAAAAATTAGAAAGATTCAAAATTTTACAAGTATAAACAAGCCACTTGCACAATCATAACTCATGTAAGTGACCTTCAAATTTCGCAACCCATTCTCGGAGGGTGGGGGGGGGGGAGGTTACGTCACTACCAATGACAGTATTGTGAGATATATCCAAATTACTCTATTTTGATACGATCCGGAGTAGCAGGAAAACTTTGGAAAGATGTGAAAAAATTAGACATGATTTCAAAAGATTAGTATTTACACTGCTCCATTCCAGGACCACCAGGCACCTACATCACCATCAGATTTGATCCTTTCTATGTAGAAAGCTATCTGGACTATGTGGAAATTTACGAAGGAAACACAACATCAAAGCTGATTGGCGAGTAAGTAATATAACTAAACAAATATTACCGTTTTCTCAAAATACATACGTAATTAGTTTTGACGTAACGATTTATTTACAGTTTGGACACTTATATGCCTTCAAAAACCGGTTTTGAAAGCAATTCCAATCAGATGCTGGTTTATTTCCATACAGATTCCATGATCACTGATTTGGGATGGTCAGTTCAATGGGCAGCAAAGTCAGTTCAAATTTCATAAAGTTCAAGAAAATGTAAATTTGATGGCTGCTGTAATTTCTATGCGTTTATTCCCTCATTTCCTAGGAAAAGCTCCTCTCCAATCACTGAAATGGGTAGATCTGGCTCTATGAACTCACCGAAGTATCCCGGTGACTACGATCCCTTTTTGGAGCAGCTATATTATGTTACAGCACCAGATGGCACTAGGGTAAATCTGTTTTGAGAAAAGCTGCTATTCAACGAACTAAAAATTTAGGTAAGTGTTACCTTCGATGATTTTTCCACCGAGCAAGACAACGACTTCCTTGAAATTTATGATGGTGGCAGCATCAGTGCTACACTTATTGCAAAGTAAGCTCCACTTTTACTTCTAAAACTACTGGTAGTGCCAGATAAAAAACAAATTTTTTGAGTTTATCCGGGCATGCGGTAGCCGGAAAAACTCTGACCACAAGTGGCAATCACTTAGCCATGCGATTTATCACCGATGGAGATATGCAGTACTATGGATGGCATATGACATGGACTTCCTCTTAATTTTTGAGGATGATTCTGCTTTTTTTTTCACGAAAAAAGTCAATCATTTCACTTCTTCACTTCCAAAAAATATCCGTTTCATGAGGTACATATTTGTAATTTGTATTATACAACATCGGTCGAGTTGGACTACATACTGACATAAGTTTTGTCGATCAAGTTATGATCAGGGTCAAGCGTGGGGTGCGGCACGCCACACCTGGGGGGTCGTATTGAGGAGTCAAAAGGGGAGGGGGTCGTAGTTGGGTAATCTGATAATAGTGATAACATGATATTCGTATCTTATCCATAATTAACATGTCAATCAACCCCTGTAGACAAAGTTTGAGGGAATTCTGAAGATTCAAGATACTAGGCTACCTAAGTGAAATGGTCAAATTCCAACATGGTTAACTCTGTTTCAAAGGTGAATTAGCTATCCGTTTTTGCACTCAAGACAAAGCACTACTCCTTCTTTGTCCACCTCAGGAATCCCGCTTCAGGAATCCTCCAAACTCTGGAACTCTGAAGCCAACCAAAATCTCGTTTTTCCCATTATTCGCTTTTGATCGCTGTGCTTTCACCAAATATTACTCAGAGCTAAGATGATGAATCAGGCTCCAAACAGTCATATGGAATCTACAAGGTTTAGGCTATCGACTCATATAAATACTGTCCGCTAAAATTGTTTTTTTGATATAGTTAATGGGGTGCGGCACACCCCCTTAAAAGCTTCGGCAGCCGCAGCTTTTAAGGGGGTGTGCCACACCCCATTAACTTACCTCCAAATCAATCAAATCTCTGCGTTTTTTATATCGTTGCCATTGCTCAACCTTCTTCTTTACATATTAGGAAAACCATTTGAAATCGTTTCTTCTAGGGAAAGATATAATCGTTTTTCCTTACCTATTCAAATGGAAAATACTGCGAATATATTGGGTTACGGTAACATGCCTAGTCTGCGCTACTTTGTAAATCGCGATGTAAGGCGGCAAGAATGAGTATATACGATAGCCTAACGCTCGTAATTTACATTAGAGTGATTTGAGCCTAACTGGTCTTCTCTAGTCTGAGATATTTGAAAGCGAAAAATGGGAAAAATGAGATTTTGGTTGGCTTCTAATTACACAGTCTGGAGGTCTTCTGAAGCGGGATTCCTGAGGTGGACAAAGAAGGAGTAGTGCTTTGTCTTGAGTGCAAAAACGGATAGCTAATTCACCTTTGAAACAAAGTTAACCATGTTGGAATTTGACAATTTCACTTAGGGAGCCTAGTATCTTGAATCTTCAGAATTCGCTCACACTTTGTCTTTAGGGGTTATTTGACATGCTAATTACGGATGTGTTGCCCATTATGTTTGACAGGGCCTTCAAGTAATGCTATCTTAAGTGTATAGTTCAGGGGGGGGGGGTCTTATTAAAACAGCAATCAGGGGGGGGGGGGGTCGTAACCAGCGATCGTGTGCCACACCCCTTGCTTGACCGTGGTTATGATTGTCATCTTTTAAAAGATTTCGTAAACTTTTGTACAGTCAGCTATTTTGAATATACTTTTCAGTTTTGCAATGCGTCATGCATCCGTAATGAAATAATGTGAAGTGTCCTAACAGTATCTTTTTCAACTAATACTCATCTGGAACATCATGCTATTAAAGTTTAGCTTTCCATAACAGACGACAACAAGCAGAAAATAACTACCCTAATCAAAGAGTGTCACACATCTGATTGTCGTTACAGGGCTCGGTACGAGGTGGCTAGTTGAAAATGCAAAAAACGAAGTCTTCCTCGACTTTTGCGAATTTTTACGAAGTCCCCTTTGACCCTCGACCATAATCCCCAAAAAATCTCCAAAAAAATGAAACCAAAAAAACTTCGCAAATTTTGTGTCTTTTCTGCCACAAAAACGAAACCCCCTTTGCTTTTTGTCCCAAAAACGATACCCAGCCCGCTTATAAGTCACCTGTGCCAAGCCCTGTGTCAATATAGGATCGAAAGAATGAGAAAATCTGTTCTAAATAGTTTAATGACGATTTTTAAAATTGTTTTGTTCGTGACCAGCTTGCAAAGATGATTTTGTAGGAATTTCTACAAAAAAATCCCAAAACAGTAAACTTTTCGATGAGTTACTTTCTTACTAGCAAGTTATCGTGGTTAACGAATGAATGGTCTCTCTTTTCTACAACATGTATTTATCCGACAACAACGATAATTTATATATGCTGGCTGTACTATATCAAATGAAATGCGACAATATGACAAATAATACGGTGGCGGCGACGGCGTAGCAATTTAGAGTCGCTTTAGATCCATTGGATTACGGTAGGCATGCATGTGTTGTGTGTGCGTAAATTAAATATCTTCACTCCCATCTTGGAACATTCTATCGACGCCCCCAGGTCCAGCCAAGATCGTGCCAGTCAGGAGTCTTTTTCACCAGTTGCATAGATCGTAGAAACCGTCGCGGGAACTGTAAGGGTACCGTAAGGATAGGTCTGAAAGGTGAAAGTTACCCACCGTGCTGTCTGGTGAGCTACGTTTACCCCATGCCCATCCTAAATCTTCCCAATCGGGTTTGATATCCCTTTTTGGTAACATGTCTGAAAAAACTCATGATTAGGTAAAACGTTTTAAACAATGAACATGCGCCATGGTGTAGCGCGGAAAACCCTTGGGGTGCAACATTTTTCTACCATGAGTTCTGAAATCATTAAAAATAAATGGTGACACAATTTTACATGCGGTTATTTTATATGATTTTTCTTATGTGTCCTTATAATAGTTTCAAGTCGGCATTGAAATCCAAGGAAGCGATGCAAATGATGATGCAGCATGTGCAGCACAGAGTGATGCACCATGTGTAACACAGGTCCAAAACGCAAGCAATTCTGGTTATAAAAACAAAAAAATAAAAATTACCTGTATTTCTAGGGTACGAAAATGTGACTTCAATGATGGCAACCAGCACTATTAAAACGAACAAACTCCTCATTTTACCTAGAAGTAAGGTAGGTTGAAGGGTATAATTAAGCAGTAGACAACGTTGGAAACGAAGACATCTTGAACTAAAAACAATCACTATGATGCTACAAGTAGCGAACGTGAGAATGCATTAGTAATTGTTTGGTTTGGAAATGCCATGAAAAGCCTTCTACGCATACGTCATTTTACGATTCATGAAATGAGGAAGCAATGAGGATTCAAAATAACTGCATTTTTTTTACTGAAGTGCCCTTTCAGTTTGCATCATTTTAATTAGTCTCCATCTCCATCACCTTTTAACGCTATGCAGGGTAAATTCTTATTCGTTTGCCATTTCCTTATTTGATTTATTTTTGAATATGGAAAACCTTTCACGGCAAGAGGTGCAATAAATGGAATGAATGATGGCTCACATAAAATGAACAATAGAGTTATCCTTCTTTTATAGAACGCTGCCAGATCGGTGAATAGGGGTGAGGGAAGATTGGCATTGAGTGACGTGTAATTTGGTAAATTTACAAACTACCGTCTAGTCGTTAACTTAATAGGTGAGCGTGCACACAACGTGCTTCAACCGACGACACCTCTAACAGTAACTTCTCAGTAATCTTTTGGGCCGTAAAAAATTGGCTGTGTACTACTACCCCGACATTCAGTTAAGCCAAAAGAGGCAAAGAAACAAGGAAAATTATTGAAAATGGGCAGGTTTCAACCTTAAAAGTTCGTCAGATTGCGTGCTTGGTGTGCAATGCGCAAATTAGCTTACAAATGACTCGAGGATATTTAGAATTTCGTGTATTTTTTCTCGGGACTCTACTTACCGTTTACGCTTTTACATCATAACCATTACGTAAATATCAAGAGTTCGGTAATAACGCAGTTCTTCAAAAAATTTGTTGAATTACATCACAACTTTTTAGAGATATTTCACAGCTGTGAATATGTTTAGAGACTTATTCTACCTGAAAGTTTCATATAATGGCAAGAAGCATTGGATATGACAGGAGGATGAAGGAGGGAAGGGGGAGGGAGGGGGGAAGAAAAGGATAAAAGTTCGCGAAATTTTCGAAAGCGGTCTATATGCGTTAAAGAATTGTGCAGAGTACTCATTCTTGCTTGCATGTGATTGATCGGTTGGTTTAAAGTCAAGTTTAACAAAAGTCAAGTTAGCTGTTGTAGAAAAAAAATTCCAAGAGCCTGGTACGTTACGCCCTCCGCCTCTTTCTCGAATTTCAAGGCTATGAGCACTCAAATGCCATATATTTTTTGACTGCATGGTAGATTTCTGAAATATTTCGGGATCAACACTGATGTTTAGTATAGGTGGAGAATTCAGTTTTACGCATAAATATTAAGGAAAAAAATGTTTATGAAGTCTCCGGGTATAGTTGCAGTGTGTAAAAGTGGACCTAAGTTTTATAAATAAAGTTTGAGTTACAGCCTTTACAAAATACGTTTGCTGGCTTTTTAGGAAACTTTACATTTGAACTCGACTCATAAACGCACGAACTTGAATTAATTTCCTTTTCAACAATTTATTTTGCCCTTTTCAAAGAGTTTAAAAGCAGATGCGGAAATATCTCATGCATCACATAGTCGGCAGACTTGTAGTTACGAAACCTTGCAAGATATCTAACTATAGGCCACTAAATACGTAGTATGTGAGCTGATAAATGGTATATACATCGTAAAAAGAACGTATAATTATACGGGAAGTGTAAACACGACAAAGCTTAGCTTGTCGCGTCATTTTCGAAAGGAGCGAATTAATTTGCTTGGGATAATGGGCTCATCTCCAAGGACTATGGGCGCCTCATATGGGTGGCACATGAACATGAGGTTGCTTTGCGCTGAGGCTTCGTTTATCTCTTTGGAAATTCATCTTGCTGTATAACTAGGCATATTAGGTTGAACCGAAAGCAATGTCGCCTGATTATGAAAAAATCGTAGCAGCTCTCCAGATAAGCCATCTTCATAAGTTCTCCAATCTTCATAAGCGTATTTGCTTATGAAGATTATCTTCTGAAAGAAAAATACATCTCGTTTCTAATAACATCTTCGCAGCTCTTTGACAACAGCAGGTGACTCCAAAGATAAAAATCAGAGAAGGAAAGCCACTCACAGTCTCGAATTTCGAAAATAAAGCGTCAAAACTCTGAAACGCTTCAGAAAAATCTGAAAAAATGATTTTTTGTAAATTTTGTGAGCTGCTCTTTCTAATGATGGCAGGATTACGATCAAGGTTTTCTACGAAAAGTTATGATTTTCGCGAAAAAGAAAAATGCAAATCTTGCCTAATTTTCCATAGGAAAGCTCGATTAGCACAAACTTGTCACCATTAGAAAGAGCAGTTAAGAGACATGTTTTCAGATTTTTGACGAATTATTTTTCAAAATCCACAGTTAGGGAGGGCCTCCTATTCGAATTTTTTCTCTGGAGTCCCTTGTCGTCAAAGAGCTCAGAGCTAGTATCAGAAAGTAGATGAATCTTCTTTCAGATGATATTTTTGTAATCAGATGCGCTCACATAGGGAGCAGTTACGAATTTTCCAAAGTTTATTCAAAATTAGCCACAAGCTAATGATGTTCTTTTCAAAATGACGAACGTCCAAATCGATGCATTTTTAGCTTTACAAAATGTATTTTTGTGGTCCTGTACATCACACTAACTATCCTCAAAGGAGTAGCTTCCCTTAAGATGAAACTCAAGAGTTTTCTGAAAATCATTCCGATCGAAGCGAAAAAAAAGAAAATGTCGGAAAAAGATTCTTCCGCAAATTGACATTTCCGGTCTCGGTCTGGCAAACTGAATCGACGGTCGAATCTCAAGGGAGACAAGGAAAAGGTTCAAATTACATATAAATCTGACTGGTAGATAGAGGAGATTTCTGAAAAAAAAAAGATTTTGAAAAAGCGAATCAGCATACTACAATAATGGCAAAACAAGGCTTTTAAAAAGTTAAGAAGTGCGTCGTTACCGAGTTAGAGAGCAATAAATAGCTGTAGTACGCCATCACCTCTAAAAACCAAGTAAAGAGAAAGCAAAAACTCTATCTTTTTTACGCTTAATTATCTGATTGTCCAATTGGTTTCTGCGTATTTCCTTCTGCTATTGAAAATCTATTTCCATACTACCTCTTAAGATGCTACACATCACTTAACTACTAAATACATCAAGCAGAAGGTCATCTAGGCATTGAAGCTGTTGTAAACGCTCCATTAGCTTGTTGATTTTACGACTTTATGCATGGTGGAGCTTTTGTATCATTATCTAAGCTTAGTGCCTAATTAATCTGCCTGCTAACAAAGGAAGATTCCGACTTTTCCACTGACAAACTTTATTATGGAATAAAAAATAATCTCAAGTACAATGATCTTTGATTTTCACATCATAATTTATTAGGTAATGACCACTATGTAAGAAATTCAATTGCGGAATAGTCACTCATGAGACGATAGGTGAAGCTGAGTTCACTGTTTGGACGCTTTCCATGGGTAATAACAAAGGAGTTTGTCATAGACCCAGGCATGGGGAGGAAGGGGGGAGGGGGAGATGGAAGAAATTGAAGAAACTTGGCCACTCATCTCTTCGGTGATTCGTAAGTCAAACAATGTACCTCCTTTAGCTACAGGCTCAGTTGAAGGGGCGACCTCCCTGCATCAAGGCAGCAGACCTTTTCCGTTTTTTTCAAAATTACTCAACATATTGTTTGAGAACAAAAAATTACAGTCTAACTCTGACAGAAATTATTTCTGAAACAGAAAGTCATTTTTAAACTTAGTCTTCTACGCCAACTGCATGTTTGTAAATGGATATCACTTATTTTGATCGGAAACAACCCCTGAAGAAAAAAAAATAGTTAGCTGCAAAAAGTATTACATTTTTTAGCTACTCGCAATAGACTGCCTTTCCTCATCAGTCGACTCCAATTCACGTCAGGATCAAGACGCATGATTTGCACCGCTGGTCAGAAGCCATAAAAGTAAAGTGGAGAGTTAAACCGAGTAAGATTGGCGCGGGAGTGGCCCAGGGTAAGCTGGACATCATTTTCGTGGACAACTAACGCCGAGGTTGGTGTAGAAAAAAGAGTGATTATCAGCTGACCACTGTGGTCAGCTGGTAGTCACTCTTGCGCTCCCCTTAAAGGCACCGTCCACCCAGATTCTCGACTTCCAGGTTTATGTCGTTTCAGGGCCTTCTCATGTCCCTGATTCCGAATATGAAGTCGAGAATCCGCAAGAACTCCGACAATCCCAGTTCCGGAAAACCCACAGGCCGCCTTTCCGGAACGGTGATTGAATGGAGAATGGGGAGGGGCGGGCATGGATGGAGGTCCTCGTGCATTTTCGTTATTCTGGAGCGATTTTCTCGCTTCCAAAGCGACATTTTGCGCCGCAACTTGGGCATCAGCTTGATAGGGGGGCCCTACTATATGTGCTGCCAAAAGCTCAAGACCCTCAACTTAGGGTGGACGTGCCTTTGAGCTTTGCGCAGTCTTTTCTTACTGTTTCGTCATCATAGAAGTAATTTTTGCTTAAGTGAAGTTGATTACTGGATACTCAAAATACTGAATTACTTCCAAGGATACCACACACGATCAATAAAAAATCTGACAGTAACATTTTTACAAAATGTCAAGAACTATTAACATTATTCATTGGCCGACCTAATACTTGCAGAGTTGAATTTATGCCGTAAGCTATTCAAGTATAAATAATGTCAGGTCAATTCAAATAGATTGTGTAAGAAATTCTCAGTTTTCTTCTTCCCTTCTTGAGACTTTCTCCTTTAGAATAAATGATTAGTATTTCCGGCTTTTCAATAAAAGCAGACTATAAAACCATACTAAAATCAGCCATGAATAGACGTTTGTTAAATTTTTAAAAGCAGTCGCACGCTTTCTGATGCTCGAAAACTGCGAAAAAGTATGCTTGAATTCTGAATTTGAAGAAGAATTATTAAGTGAGTCAAAATCACTTAAGCAGGGGCCTTCATCATTCGCTTCCTAATTCAAAAA